ATATGCTCATACTGCTGTCCTAGTGGGGTGTGATTGCTGCAAGGCTGTTACCCAGAGCTGAAAGAGTAGCAACACAAAACAGAAATTGCATTGGCCGGGAATCAGACCTGGGTCTCCAGCATGCGAGGCGAGAAATCTACCACTGAACCACCAATGCTGAAATGCTTTGATTGCTGCCCTAGTGGGGTGTGACTGCTGCAAGGCTGTTACCCAGAGCTGGAAGAGTAGCAACACAAAACAGGAATTGCATGGGCAGGGAATCAGACCCGGATGTCCCGTGAGACAGGCGAGAATTTTACCAGTGAACCACCAATGCTGACCTACCTTGTTCCTTGCCTTTGTGTGAGTGCTAAACGGACATCAACCAGAGCTGGAACAGGAGCCACAAAAAAGCACTTCTGTATTAGTCAGGATTCAACTCTAGGTGTCCCGCGTGGCAAACGAGAATTCTACCACTAAACCACCAATGCTGATATGCTTATATTGCTGCCCTAGTGGGTTGTGATTGCTGCAAGGCTGTTACCCAGGGCTGGAAGAGTAGCAACACAAAACAGGATTTGCATTGGCCAGGAATCGGAGCCTGGTCTCCCACGTGGCAGGCGACAATTCTACCAGTGAACCACCAATGCTGATATGCTCATAATGCTGTCCTAGTTAGGTGTGATTGCTGCAAGGCTGTTACCCAGAGCTGAAAGAGTAGCAACACAAAACAGGAATTGCATTGGGCGGGAATCGGACACGGGTCTCCAGCGTGGCAGGTGAGAATTCCACCACTGAACCACCAACGCTAACCCAAGTTGCTCTTTGCCTTTGTGTTATGTGAGTGCTAAAAATCCGTCAACCAGAGTTGTAACAGGAGCCACACAAAACAGCAATTGCATTAGCCGGGAATGGAACCCAGGTCTCCCTCATAGCAGGAAAAAATTCGACCAGTGAACCACCAGTGCTGATATGCTAATGCTGCAGCCCTAGTGGGGTGTGATTGCTGCAAGGCTGTTACCCAGAGCTGGAAGAGTAGCAATACAAAATAGGAATTGCATTGGCCGGGAATCGGACCCGGGTCTCCTGCGTGGGAGGCAAGAATTCTACCACTGAACCACCAATGCTGATATGCTCATACTACTGTCCTAGTGGGTTGTGATTGCTGCAAGGCTGTTACCCAGAGCTGGAAGAGTAGCAACACAAAACAGGGTTTGCATTGGCCAGGAAGTGGACGAGGGTCTCCCGCGTGGCAGGCGAGAACTCAACCAGTGAACCACCAATCCTGATATGCTCATACAGCTGTCCTAGTTGGGTGTGATTGCTGCAAGGTTGTTACCCAGAGCTGGAAGAGAAGCAACACAAAAAAGGAACTGCGTTGGCCGGGAATCGGTCCCGGGTCTCCTGTGTGGGAGGCGAGAATTCTACCACTAAACCACCAATGCTGATATGCTCATACTGCTGTCCTATCGGGGTGTGATTGCTGCAAGGCTGTTACCCAGAGCTGGAAGAGTAGCAACACAAAACAGGAATTGCATTGGCCGTGAATCGGACCCGGGTCTCCCGCGTGGCAGGCGAGAATTCTACTACTGAACCACCAATGCTGATATGCTCATACTACTGTCCTAGTGGGGTGTGATTGCTGCAAGGCTGTTACCCAGAGCTGGAAGAGTAGCAATACAATATAGGGTTAGCATTGGCCAGGAAGCAGACCAGGGTCTCCCGCGTAGCAGGCGAGAATTCTACCACTGAACCACCAATGCTGATATGCTCAAACATCTGTCCTAGTGGGGTGTGATTGCTGCAAGGCTGTTACCAGGAACTGGAAGATTACACAAAAAAGGAATTGGATTGGCCAGGAATCGGCCCCGGGTCTCCCGCTTGGGAGGCGAGAATTTACCACTGAAACACCAATGCTGATTTGCTTATATTGCTGCCCTAGTGGGGTGTGACTGCTGCAAGGCTGTTAGCCAGAGCTGGAAGAGTAGCAACACAAAACAGGAATTGCATGGGCAGGAAATCAGACCCGGATTTCCCGTGAGACAGGCGAGAATTTTACCAGTGGACCACCAATGCTGACCTACCTTGTTCCTTGCCTTTGTGTGAGTGCTAAACGGACATCAACCAAAGCTGGAACAGGAGCCACAAAAAACCACTTCTTTATTAGTCAGGATTGAACTCCAGGTGTCCCGCGTGGCAAGCGAGAATTCTACCACTAATCCACCAATGCTGATATGCTTGTGTTGCTGCCCTAGTGGGGTGTGATTGCTGCAAGGCTGTTACCCAGAGCTGGAAGAGTAGCAACACAAAACAGGAATTGCATTGGCCGGAAAACGGACACGGAACTCCCACGTCACAAACGGGATTTTTACCACTGAACCACCAACGCTGATATGCTCATACTGCTGTTCTAGTGGGTTGTGATTGCTGCAAGGCTGTTACCCAGGGCTGGAAGAGTAGCAACACAAAACATGATTTGCATGGGCCAGGAATCGGAGCCTGGTCTCCCGCGTGGCAGGCGAGAATTCTACTAGTGAACCACCAATGCTGATATGCTCATAATGCTGTCCTAGTTAGGTGTGATTGCTGCAAGGCTGTTACCCAGAGCTGAAAGAGTAGCAACACAAAACAGGAATTGCATTGGGCGAGAATCGGACCCGGGTCTCCAGCATGGCAGATGAGAATTCCACCACTGAACCACCAACGCTAACCCAAGTTGTTCTTTGCCTTTGTGTTATGTGAGTGCTAAAAATCTGTCAACCAGAGTTGTAACAGGAGCCACACAAAACAGCAATTGCATTAGCCGGGAATGGAACCCAGGTCTCCCTCATAGCAGGAAAAAATTCTACCAGTGAACCACCAGTGCTTATATGCTAATGCTGCAGCCCTAGTGGGGTGTGATTGCTGCAAGGCTGTTACCCGGAGCTGGAAGATTAACTACACAAAAAAGGAATTGGATTGGCCAGGAATCGGCCCCGGGTCTCCCGCTTGGGAGGTGAGAATTCTACCACTGAACCACCAATGCTGATATGCTTATATTGCTGCCCTAGTGGGGTGTGACTGCTGCAAGGCTGTTACCCAGAGCTGGAAGAGAAGCAACACTAAACAGGATTTGCATTGGCCGGGAATCGGACCCGGGTCTCCCGCGTGGCAGGTGAGAATACTACCACTGAATCACCAATGCTGATAGGCTCATACTACTGTCCTAGTGGGGTGTGATTGCTGCAAGGCTGTTACCCAGGGCTTGAAGAGTAGCAACACAAAACAGGATTTGCATTGGCCAGGAATCGGAGCCTGGTCTCCCGCGTGGCAGGCGACAATTCTACCAGTGAACCACCAATGCTGATATGCTCATAATGCTGTCCTAGTTAGGTGTGATTGCTGCAAGGCTGTTACCCAGAGCTGAAAGATTAGCAACACAAAACAGGATTTGCATTGGGCGGGAATCAGACCCGGGTCTCCAGCGTGGCAGGTGAGAGTACCACCACTGAACCACCAACGCTAACCCAAGCTGTTCTTTGCCTTTGTGTTATGTGAGTGCTAAAAATTCGTCAACCAGAGTTGTAACAGGAGCCACACAAAACAGCAATTGCATTAGCCGGGAATGGAACCCAGGTCTCCCTCATAGCAGGAAAAAATTCGACCAGTGAACCACCAGTGCTGATATGCTAATGCTGCAGCCCTAGTGGGGTGTGATTGCTGTAAGGCTGTTACCCAGAGCTGGAAGAGTAGCAATACAAAATAGGAATTGCATTGGCCGGGAATCGGACCCGGGTCTCCTGCGTGGGAGGCAAGAATTCTACCACTGAACCACCAATGCTGATATGCTCATACTACTGTCCTAGTGGGTTGTGATTGCTGCAAGGCTGTTACCCAGAGCTGGAAGAGTAGCAACACAAAACAGGGTTTGCATTGGCCAGGAAGCGGACGAGGGTCTCCCGCGTGGCAGGCGAGAATTCAACCAGTGAACCACCAATGCTGATATGCTCATACAGCTGTCCTAGTTGGGTGTGATTGCTGCAAGGTTGTTACCCAGAGCTGGAAGAGAAGCAACACAAAAAAGAAACTGCGTTGGCCGGGAATCGGTCCCGGGTCTCCTGTGTGGGAGACGAGAATTCTACCACTAAACCACCAATGCTCATATGCTCATACTGCTGTCCTAGTGGGGTGTGATTGCTACAAGGCTGTTACCCAGAGCTGGAAGAGTAGCAACACAAAACAGGAATTGCATTGGCCGGGAATCGGACCCGGGTCTCCCGCGTGGCAGGCAAGAATTCTACCACTGAACCACCAATGCTGATGTGTTTATGTTGCTGCCCTAGTGGGGTGTGACTGCTGCAAGGCTGTTACCCAGAGCTGAAAGAGTAGCAACACAAAACAGGAGTTGCATTGGCCGGGAATCGGACCCGGGTCTCCCGCATGGCAGGCGAGAATTCTACCACTGAACCACCAATGCTGATATGCTCATACTACTGTCCTAGTGGGGTGTGATTGCTGCAAGGCTGTTACCCAGGGCTGGAAGAGTAGCAACACAAAACAGGATTTGCATTGGCCAGGTATCGGAGCCTGGTCTCCCGCGTGGCAGGCGACAATTCTACCAGTGAACCACAAATGCTGATATGCTCATAATGCTGTCCTAGTTAGGTGTGATTGCTGCAAGGCTGTTACCCAGAGCTGAAAGAGTAGCAACACAAAAGAGGAATTGCATTGGGCGGGAATCGGACCCGGGTCTCTAGCGTGGCAGGTGAGAATTCCACCACTGAACCACCAACGCTAACCCAAGTTGTTCTTTGCCTTTGTGTTATGTGAATGCTAAAAATCCGTCAACCAGAGTTGTAACAGGAGCCACACAAAACAGCAATTGCATTAGCCGGGAATGGAACCCAGGTCTCCCTCATAGCAGGAAAAAATTCGACCAGTGAACCACCAGTGCTGATATGCTAATGCTGCAGCCCTAGTGGGGTGTGATTGCTGCAAGGCTGTTACCCAGAGCTGGAAGAGTAGCAATACAAAATAGGAATTGCATTGGCTGGGAATCGGACCCGGGTCTCCTGCGTGGGAGGCAAAAATTCTACCACTGAACCACCAATGCTGATATGCTCATACTACTGTCCTAGTGGGTTGTGATTGCTGCAAGGCTGTTACCCAGAGCTGGAAGAGTAGCAACACAAAACAGGGTTTGCATTGGCCATGAAGTGGACGAGGGTCTCCCGCGTGGCAGGCGAGAATTTAACCAGTGAACCACCAATGCTGATATGCTCATACAGCTGTCCTAGTTGGGTGTGATTGCTGCAAGGTTGTTACCCAGAGCTGGAAGAGAAGCAACACAAAAAAGGAACTGCGTTGGCCGGGAATCGGTCCCGGGTCTCCTGTGTGGGAGGCGAGAATTCTACCACTAAACCACCAATGCTGATATGCTCATACTGCTGTCCTATCGGGGTGTGATTGCTGCAAGGCTGTTACCCAGAGCTGGAAGAGTAGCAACACAAAACAGGAATTGCATTGGCTGGGAATCGGACCCGGGTCTCCCGCGTGGCAGGCGAGAATTCTACAACTGAACCACCAATGCTGATATGTTAATGTTGCTGCCCTAGTGGGATGTGACTGCTGCAAGGCTGTTACCCTGAGCTGAAAGAGTAGCAACACAAAACAGGAGTTGCATTGGCCGGGAATCGGACGCAGGTCTCCCACGTGGTAGGCGAGAATTCTACCACTGAACCACCAATGCTAATATGCTCATACTACTGTCCTAGTGGGGTGTGATTGCTGCAAGGCTGTTACCCAGAGCTGGAAGAGTAGCAATACAAAACAGGGTTAGCATTGGCCAGGAAGCGTACAAGGATCTCCCGCGTAGCAGGCGAGAATTCTACCACTGAACCACCAATGCTGATATGCTCAAGCATCTGTCCTAGTGGGGTGTGATTGCTGTAAGGCTGTTACCCAGAGCTGGAAGATTAACTACACAAAAAAGGAATTGGATTGGCCAGGAATCGGCTCCGTGTCTCCCACTTCGGAGGCGAGAATTCTACCACTGAACCACCAATGCTGATATTGCTGCCCTAGTGGGGTGTGACTGCTGCAAGGCTGTTACCCAGAGCTGGAAGAGTAGCAACACTAAACAGGATTTTCATTGGCCGGGAATCGGACCCAGGTCTCCCGCGTGGCAGGCGAGAATTCTACCACTGAACCACCAATGCTGATATGCTCATGCTTCTGTCCTAGTGGGGTGTGATTGCTGCAAGGCTGTTACCCAGAGCTGGAAGAGTAGCAACACAAAACAGGGTTTGCATTGGCCAGGAACAGGACCACGGTCTCCCGCGCGGCAGGCGAGAATTCTACCAGTGAACCACCAATGCTGATATGCTCATAATGCTCTCCTAGTTGGGTGTGATTGCTGCAAGGCTGTTACCCAGAGCTGAAAGAGTAGCAACACAAAACAAGAGTTGCATTGGCCGGGAATCAGACCCAGGTCTCCCGCATGGCAGGCGAGAATTCTACCACTGAACCACCAATGCTGATATGCTTACATTGCTGCCTTAGTGGGGTGTGACTGCTGCAAGGCTGTTACCCAGAGCTGGAAGAGTAGCAACACAAAACAGGAATTGCATTGGCTGGGAATCAGACCCGGGTCTCCCGCGTGGCAGGCGAGAATACTACCACTGATCCACCAATGCTAATATACTCATACTTCTGTCCTAGTGGGGTGTGATTGCTGCAAGGCTGTTAACCAGAGCTTGAAGAGTAGCAACACAAAACAGGGTTTGCAATTGCCAGGAGCCGGACCAGGGTCTCCCGCGTTGCAGGCGAGAATTATACCAGTGAACCACTAATGCTGATATGCTCATACTGCTCTCCTAGTTGGGTGTGATTGCTGCAAGGCTCTTACCCAGAGCTGAAAGAGTAGCAACACAAAACAGGAATTGGATTGGCCAGGAATCGGCCCCGGGTCTCCCGCGTGGCAGGCGAGAATTCTACCACTGAACCACCAATGCTGATATGCTTGTATTGCTGCCCTAGTGGGGTGTGACTGCTACAAGGCTGTTACCCAGAGCTGGAAGAGTAGCAACACAAAACAGGATTTGCATTGGCCGGGAATCGGACCCAGGTCTCCCGCGTGGCAGGCGAGAATTCTACCACTGAACCACCAATGCTGATATGCTTATCTTACTGCCCTAGTGGGGTGTGACTGCTGCAAGGCTGTTACCCAGAGCTGGAAGAGTAGCAACACAAAACAGGATTTGCATTGGCCGGGAATCGGACCCGGGTCTCCCGCGTGGCAGGCGAGAATTCCACCACTGAACCAACAATGCTGATATGCTCATTCTACTGTCCTAGTGGGGTGTGATTGTGGCAAGGCTGTTACCCAGAGCTGGAAGAGTAGCAACACAAAACAGGGTTTGCATTGGCCAGGAACCGGACCAGGGTCTCCCGCATGGCAGGCAAGAATTCTACCAGTGAACCACCAATGCTGATATGCTCGTACTGCTCTCCTAGTTGGGTGTGATTGCTGCAAGGCTGTTACCCAGAGCTGAAAGAGTAGCAACACAAAACAAGAGTTGCATTGGCCAGGAATAGGACCTGGGTCTCCCGCGTGGGAGACGAGAATTCTACCACTGAACCAACAATGCTGATATGCTTATATTTCTGCCCTAGTGGGGTGTGACTGCTGCAAGGCTGTTACCCAGAGCTGGAAGAGTAGCAACACAAAACAGGATTTGCATTGGCCGGGAATCGGACCCAGGTCTCCCGTGTGGCAGGCGACAAGTCTACCAGTGAACCACCAATGCTGATATGCTCATAACGCTGTCCTAGTTGGGTGTGATTGCTGCAAGGCTGTTACCCAGAGCTGGAAGAGTAGCAGCACAAAACAGGGTTTGCATTGGCCAGGAAGCGGACCAGGGTCTCCCGCATAGCAGGCGAGAATTCTACCACTGAACCACCAATGCTGATATGCTCAAACATCTGTCCTAGTGGGGTGTGATTGCTGCAAGGCTGTTACCCGGAGCTGGAAGATTAACTACACAAAACAGGAACTGCATTGGCCGGGAATCAGACCCAGGTCTCCCGTTTGGGAGGCGAGAATTCTACCACTGAAACACCAATGCTGATATGCTTATACTGCTCTCCTAGTGGGTTTTGATTGCTGCAAGGCTGTTACCCAGAGCTGGAAGAGAAGCGAGACAAAACCAGATTTTCATTGGCCAGGAATCGGACCCGGGTCTCCCCACGTGGCAGGCGAGGATTCTACCAGTGAACCACAAATGCTGATATGTTCATACTGCTTTCCTAGTTGGGTGTGATTGCTGTAAGGCTGTTACCCAGAGCTGAAAGTGTAGCAACACAATACAGGAATTGCATTGGCCGGGAATCGGACCAGGGTCTCCAGCGTGGCAAGAGAGAATTCTACCACTGAACCACCAATGCTGACCCATGTTGTTGTTTGCCTTTGTGTTATGTGAGTGCTAAAAGGCCGTCAACAAGAGTTGTAACAGGAGCCACACAAAACAGCAACTGCATCAGCCGGGAATGGAACCCACATCTCCCTCATAGCAGGAAAGAATTCTACCAGTGAACCACCAATGCTGATATGCTAATACTGCAGCCCTAGTGGGGTGTGATTGCTGCAAGGCTGTTACCCAGAGCTGGAAGAGTAGCAACACAAAAGAGGATTTTCATTGGCTGGGAATCGGACCTGGGCCTCCCGCATGGCAGGCAAGAACTCTACCACTGAACCACCAATACTCATATACTCATACATCTGTCCTAGTGGGGTTTGATTGCTGCAAGGCTGTTACCCAGAGCTGGAAGATTAGCAACACAAAACAGGAATTGCATTGGCCAGGAATCGGACCCGCGTCTCCCGCGTGGGAGGCGAGAATTCTACCACTGAACCATCAATGCTGTTATGCTCATACTGCTGTCCTAGTGGGTTGTGATTGCTGCAAGGCTGTTACCCAGAGCTGGAAGAGTAGCAACACAAAAGAGAAACTGCATTGGCCGGGAATCAGACCCAGGTCTTCCGCGTAGTAGGCGAGAATTCTACCACTGAACCACCAATGCTGATATGCTCAAACATCTGTCCTAGTGGGGTGTGATTGCTGCAAGTCTGTTACCCGGAGCTGGAAGAGAAGCAACACAAAAAAGGAACTGCGTTGGCCGGGAATCGGACCCGGGTCTCCTGAGTGGGAGGCGAGATTTCTACCACTAATCCACCAATGCTAACATGCTCATACTACTGTCCTAGTGGGGTGTGATTGCTGCAAGGCTGTTACCCAGAGCTGGAAGAGTAGCAACACAAAACAGGATTTGCATTGGCCGGTAATCGGACCCGGGTCTCTCGCGTGGCAGGCGAGAATTCCACCATTGAACTACCAATGCTGATATGCTTATTTTGCAGCCCTAGTGGGGTGTGACTGCTGCAAGGCTGTTACCCAGAGCTGGAAGATTAGCAACACAAACAGGAATTGGATTGGCCAGGAATCTGCCCCGGGTCTCCCACTTGGTAGGCGAGAATTCAACCACTGAACCACCAATGCTGATATGCTTATATTGCTGCCCTAGTGGGGTGTGACTGCTGCAAGGCTGTTACCCAGAGCTGGAAGAGTAGCAACACAAAACAGGAGTTGAATTGGCCAGGAATCGGACCTGGGTCTCCCGCGTGGGAGGTGAGAATTCTACCACTGAACTACCAATGATGATATGCCTATATTGCTGCCCTAGTGGGGTGTGACTGCTGCAAGGCTGTTACCCAGAGCTGGAAGAGTAGCAACACAAAACAGGATTTGCATTGGCCGGGAATCGGACCCAGGTCTCCCGCGTGGCAGGCGAGAATTCTACCACTGAACCACCAATGCTTATATGCTCATACTGCTGTCCTAGTGGGGTGTGATTGCTGCAAGGCTGTTACCCAGAGCTGGAAGAGTAGCAACACAAAACAGGGTTTGCATTGGCCAGGAACAGGACCAGGGTCTGCCGCGTGGGAGGCGAGATTTCTACCACTGAACCATCAATGCTGTTATGCTCATACTGCTGTCCTAGTGGGTTGTGATTGCTGCAAGGCTGTTACCCAGAGCTGGAAGAGTAGCAACACAA